TAAAAATATATATCAATATAATAATAATATTTAAAATGAATAATTAATTTTAATATTCATAAATTTAATACTTAATTATTATTATAAAAAAGTAGAAACATTTATTTTATATAATAATGAAAAATAAAGTAATAAAAAATAAAAATAAAATAAAAATAATAGAAAATAAAATAAATGGAGGATAAAAAATATATTATATAAATGATAAAGCAAAATTTTTGAATTGTTTTATTCAGTAAAAATCTAATATATACAAATAGTATAAATTAAAATGATTCAACTCAGCACCATCGCACATGACATCGCCTGTAAATGATATTGCATACAAAAGTACTATATTGTTACTCATTTACGCTATGAAATTAAACCATTATAATGATTACATAGTACATTCATTTTTCAAGAACTTTGATTCAATTTCATCATTTATCTTAATTATATATAAATTTTACTTTAAAATAAAAGACATTTAAAAACTTTTAATAGATATTGTATCAAATTCTTATATTAGTCATTCAATATTATATTATTATTTTAGTCTTATATTATTTAAATATTTGATCATATTCAAAAAAATATTAAATTGAAAAAAGCCTTTGAAAATGAAAAGAAAGTTCATATTGCATCTATAAATTAAAAATCATCATTATGTTCTATAATTAATATTGTAGTAATTATACATCATGAAAAAAAATGTGATCAATTTTATATTTTTTAATTAAAATTCAATTATATTTATATTATAATAAAACAATAACAATATTATTCCAGTAATCTTTTCGTAGTATATCAAATGTATGCAAGAAGAAAATATAGAAAATAATTCTACAAATTTTATGTTTTGAAAATATATCTATAGCAATTAGAATAAAAATTGTTGGTTACAAAAAGCTGAAAATATATTTTTTTGTATATAAAATCAATAATAAAAAAATAATTATTTTATAGATTTACTTATTTTGAACATTTTATAATTTTTATAATTTTATTACATTGTCAAAGGATTAATTCTTCAACAAACAACTTTTTTAATTTCTTATACAAAAATATCATCTCATACAAAAAAATATAATCTCATACAAAAAATATAAGTTAATCTTATTTGTTGTTTTGTAATCTTATTTGTTGTTTATTAAAATTATTATATTAATTATATTTAAAAAATATATTTTAATAAAAACAAAAAATATCTCGTAATGATTTTAATATAAAATAAATATGGTTTGATGTGAATAGGATGGAATAAGTTGGATTTTCACGGAACCTGCAGCAAAAAAATTTAGAAAGTAATTATGATTGAAATTTATGATTTTTACTATAATATGAATAATAAAAGATAAACAAGATAAAATACTGTAAAGATAGTATTTTAACTAGATACGCATTATTCTAAACTTGTAACGCAATGAAGACAAGAAAAAGCCAAATTTAAATCAAATCATTCTTCATGTTTTAGCAAAGGTTGTTTTGTACCAAAAGCTGGTTCAAGAGGTACCAAATAAGTAATTTTTGCACTTGCATCACTTTCTTCACTTTCACTATGTTTTATAATCGGCCTATTTTTCCTGATAAGTTTACGTGGACGTTGAATCACTTCTTCATAAGTAACGTACTCAGACCTTGTAAGAGGAGCCTTTTGTTTTTTCGTATAATAACCTATAGATGTATTATCAGTTGTATATATTTGTTGAGCGGATTTATTAGTTTGCGGTACAGGAGTAACAGTATATCCTGCATTAATCAATGCTGATAAATCTTCTTCTGTCAGAATACGTGCTTTAGGCGTAGGAGGATTATTGATTTGATCCGGTTCGATAGTGACTTCTTCAATAGTTATTGATTTGATGGGTGACTTTTTTAATAAACCTGATTCAGACACATAAGCCGATTGAGAAGACGAAGGTAACTTTAATTTATGAGTTTGGCGTGGTTGCGTAATAATGGATTGCACTCGAGCTGGTGCCGTTTCAACAGGATTTGTATCATCCAATTTTGAAACTGATCTAGGAACATAAGAAGAACCAGATGCTTGATATTTTTGTAATTGATCATTGGTAAAATAATTGTTCAATAAAGGAAGAGCTGTACTAGTTGAAAGTGTATAATGATACACAGATGAATCTGGATCGACTTTCTTTGCTTGCACTTGACCCTTAGATATCGCTAAAATTTCGTTCTTAGCTTGATTACGAGCTTGAAGTTGGGATTTATAAAGAGCTTCGGCTTGAGCTTGCGCTAAAGCTTGAGCACGAGCTTGATTTTTTTCAAAATTCAGAGCGTAATTATGAACCTCTTCTTGTATTTTCAAATGAGCTTGTTGTTGAGCTTCCAATTTACGAATAGCATCAGCGTGTGCTTTAAATTCTTGCGCCTGTTGTAATTTTCTTGCCTCAGCTGCTTCTGCAGCTATTTGAGCTTTCAACTTTGCTTTATAAGCAGCTTCTGGGTGTAGTTGTTCTTGTAAATGAGCACGTCCAGCATCACTTACTTTAGAGCCTTGTTGAATCTGTTCTAAAGCAGATTGTTGTCTGTAATGTTCGTTCGTGATCCTCATATGGGCTAATGCATCTTGATGATGTTTTTTATATGCAGCTTGCGCAATTTTCTGAAAAGCCAATGCTTGCGCTTCTGCTTGAGCTTGAGCTTGAGCTTGAGCCTGTTCAAGGGCTTTCTGATAGGCATCGTCGTCGACTGCATAATCGTATTGTGAAACCGAATTAAGAGCTTTGGTTGGTTGAATTGCTTGATATTGAGCAGTTTCCTCGATTGACTGATAAACAGGTTGTTGTTGTTGTTGTTGTTGTTGTTGATATCGTGGTGGAGAAGTTTCGATGTGATATTGTTCAGGTAATTGAGGTGCTTGCACTGTTGATTTTGCATATTGAACTGGATAACTTATTAATTGCTGCGAATATGCTGATGTGCTTTCTTTAGGTTGTGTTGGTAGCAATTTAAATTCTTGGGCTTGATTAGCTGAGACTAATTGTAATAATTCTTGCTCGAATGTTCCTAATTTTGGTTGAGAATATGACGTTTGATATGCAGAAGATTTCGAACCTAAACGTGCGGTACGAATAGCTTCTGAACGAGATTGAGCTTCGGTATGAGCTTGAATTTCTGCAGCTATTTCAGCTTGAGCTAAAGCTTGAGGATGAAGTTGAGTACGAGGTCGAGGTGGTACTACTGTTGGTTTTCGGTAGTTATAATAAGCTTGTTGCAATGATTGTTGTTGCTTTGAATATCTTGGTTGTACTCTTCCTGAAGAGATAGGCGGTTGTGATACTTCTTGTGCATATTGTGGTATTACAGATAAGTACTCCGGTGGTAACTAAAAATTCATATATTTTTTTCGTGTAATTATAATTATTATAATAGAAAAATCAATAAATCAATTAGATTTTTAGATTGTTAATTAAGTTCTACGGATTCTTTACTTCACAAAATTTATTAAGATAATGTTACACTTTTTTTCTTGATTTTTTTTTTAATTAATTTGAATTATTTATTGCAATTATTCCAATGAAAAGATTCCATTTACAATGAAAAGCAAAATAATTGCTCAACAATAATCGAAAGTCTATAATTTTAAGATTATATATAGCATTATAAAATTATGATATTTTAATGTACATATATATCTTAATTCATTATTTTTGTTACAATATCTTTTACTTTTGTACTTATTAATAATATTTATTAATACCGATATATTTATTAATAATTTTTTTCAATATATTTTGTTATACAAAAATGTCTAAATGTCTCTTCTGAAACATAAAAAAAAAATATATATATTCAAATTTATCATCATTTATAATCAATTATAATCGTTCTGCAGAACTTAATTAAT